GAAAAAAGTGAATCTGGCATTAGACCCCCCATCTACAATGTGGAGTGATAGAAGAAAAAATTATTTTGGTCAAGTATAAAAGAAAATTTTGACTTTAGAATTCTATGGGCAGATAATCTGCCAATCAAGGTTGGGAGTATTATATAAGTATACAAATTTCTAAAACAAGAATTGAAGATGCTAAACAAGCAAAAACTAGTACAAAGACAGAAATAAATGAACTTAAAGTCACAACAGGAAAATTTAATACATTTCTCTCCAGATCCAACTGTCCAAACATTTAAAAGGAAAATCATTATGTTACTAAGAGTTTTAACAATGCATAATTAAATAGAAATATATAGAATGATGTGGTCATGATAACAAAGAATGCACAATATAAGCAAATGTTTTAAAAACAATAGAAACTACATAATATACAACATCAGAGCATTAAAAACACAAGACCATGTCTTTAACCTAAATCAAGGCTATCTTATCTGAGGCAATAAAACAAGAAATCATCAACAAAAGAGAAGCCCTCCCATCACTCCCTGCCCTAATAATATCCATTCACTTGGAAATTTACAAAACATCTCTTTTAAATAGTATTGGGTAAAAAAGAACAAAAATTGAGGTCATAGATAATTTAGAAAAGACTAATGAAAATACTACATATAAAAAAATATAGAATGCAGCCAAAGTAGTACTGAAAGGAATATTTATAGACTTTATTAGAACACAAGAAAGAATGAAAAAAAACGAATTAAGAAATCAACTGGGCTGTGCATTGTGGCTCATACCTATTATCCCAGAGTGCTGGAAAGCCAAAATGAGAGCATCACTTGAAGCCAGGAATTCAAGACCAGCCTGGGGCAAAACAGTGAGACCCCCATCTCTACAAAACAATTTTTGAAATTAGCCAAGCCTGGTGGCATGAACCTGTAAGTCCAGCTACTTGGGAAACTAAGGCAAGAGGATCATTTGAGTCCAGGTGTTTGAGGCTTAAGTGAGGTATGCTCACACCACTGCACTCCATCTTGGGCAACAGCACAAATTCATTACAGAAAAAAGAAAAGAAAAAGAAACCAACTAAAGAAGGTAGGATAATAGCAGCATTTTTAAAAAAATTTTGTCTGTACTGAACAAGGACAGATTCTTTTTCTTATTATTCCCTAAAGAATACAGTATAACATCTATTTATATAGAATTTATACTGTATTGGTATTATAAGCAATATAGAGATGATTTAAAATATACAGGAGGAGTTATATGCAAATACTATGCCATTTTATAACAAGAACTTGAGCATTCCTGGACTTTGGTATCCACAAGAGATCCTGGGAACTAACCCCAATCCCCCATGAATACCAAGGGACAACGGTTTATGTGTGTGTGAATATATATATAGAGAGAGAAAGGAAACAAAGAAAGAAAGGCATTAGTGTCAACTGAGGTAGTTATTAGCACGTTTTAATCATACCATCAAATGAATAGCTTTCTTTACTTCCATTTCTCCCATTCTTGTTCTTTCTAAAACATTTAAAATATATTTAAATATCAGAATATTACTTTTCCTTCTTTTTTTCTCTCTCCTCTGTCTGATGTTACAAGTGGCAACTAAGAGTTATATAAAGTCAGCACTGACATTTAGAGCCAAGAATAACTGAATCCATGGCTAAAAACAGTATGAGAACTCCTGAATACTTAAATTACATTAAGAATCATTATGAATGAATCCTAATCACTTTAGGATTACTCTGAATCTAATGCTCAGGATGTATTTATGCTATTAAAAATAATAAGAGAATTCAAAATAACAATTATAATATCTTAAGCCACTATATCTCAAAATTTTGTATTAAAATGGTCCTTGTGACAGATAAGAGTAAACTTGGACTTCTTAGCAATCTTATATCTAAGACTTCCTTAAAAGAGTTTCTGTTTTAAAATGTGTAGTCAGTTGTTATCATGATATATTAAATGTTATCATAATATATTAAATATTTCATAAAATCACTTCATCTTTATTCCTATCCAGTTTCCTGGACGCTGAGGATAATATAAAAGACATACAGTTATAATACCATGTTTTTGGTATTTCATTGTTTTACTAGAAATCTCTTATTTTTATAAGATTTCTCTGTAAGATGTTTATAAACATACATTAATATAAGGAAAATCTGAAGTATGGATTTGATTAGTACTTACAGCCACATGTGCAGAGGCAGAGACAAGCATTGACCTAGTCTTTCTGAATCCAACTTCCTTGTATTGATAGTATTTGTTTCACATTTTTGGAAGACCCAACAAAAAAAGAAAACTACAGGGCAATAATGCTTATGAACACTGATATAAAAATTCTCAATAAGATATGTAGTACCAGCAAGCCAAATTCAGTAACACATCAAAAAGATAATTCACCACGATCAAATGGGTTTCATCCCAGGTATGCAAAGACAGTTCAACATACTCAAATCAATAAATGTGATTCATGACATAAACAGAAAAAGGAAGCCAAAACAAAGACCATATGATCATCTCAATAGATTCAGAAAAAGCATTCAATAAAATCCAGCACCCTGTCAGGATAAAAACCCTTAACCAAGTAGACATAGAAGAAACATACCTGAAAATTGTAAAAGCCACATATGACAAACCCTCAGCCAACATCATACTGAATGTAGTAAAGTGAAATCATTCACCAACAACTGGAATAAGACAAGAGTGCCCACTGTCATCACTTCTATTCAACATAGTACTAGAAGTTCTAGTCAAAGCAATGAGTCAAGAGAAAGAAAGAAAGAGCATCCAAATCAGGATGACTATCTTTGTTTGCCAATTATACAATCTTATATCTAGAACACCCTAGATATAACATCGTAACAAAAGACCCCTAGAATTGATAAATAAATTCAGCAATGTTTCAAGTTACAAAATCAGTGTGCATAAATTAGTAGCATTTTTATAAACTAATAACAGTCAAGCTGAGAGTCAAATCAAGGACTCTTATGATGTTACTTACAATAGCTACAAAGAAAATAAGAATAAAATACTTAGGAATATACATACTTAACCAAGGAGATGAAAGATCACTACAAGGAGAATTACTAAATACTGATGAAATATGGTAGATGACATAAACAAATGAAAAATCATCCCATACTCATGGGTTGGTAGCATCAACACTAAAATGTTCATTCTACTCAAAGTGATGTACAGATTCAATGCACTTCCCATCAAAATATCAATGTCTTATTTCACAGATCTAGAAAAATAATCCTAACCTTCATTTGGAACCAAAAAAAGAGCCTGAATAGCAATCTTAAGCAAAAAGAACAAATATGGAGGAATGATATTATTTGATTTCAAAGTATAACACGGGGCTATAGTGACCACAACAGGACTGGGTACGCTTACACCTGTAATTCTAGTACTCTGGGAGGCTGAAGCAGGAGGATCACTTGAACTCAGAAATTCAAATAACCAAAACAGCATGTTATTGTACAAAAGTACAGAACAGAGAACCCAGAAATAAAACCATATAACTATGAGCAACCAATCTTTGAAAAAAGCAGACAAAAGACCGGGAAAAGGTTACCCTATTTAATAAATGATGCTGAGAAAATTGGATATCTACATACATAAGAAGGAAGCAAGACTTCTATCTCTAGCTATATACAAAAATTAATTCAAGAAGGATTAAAGACTTAAATGTAAGGCAAGAAACCATAAAAAATTATAGAGGAAAATGTAGGAAAAACTCTTCTGGACATAGGCCGAGACTAGAAATTTATGACTAAGACTCCAAAGGCAATACAGGAGCAACAAAAATAAATGAGATTCAATTAAATGAAAAGGCTCTTGCAAAAAAAAAAAAAGGCTCTTGCACAGCAAAGGAAATAATCGATAGGGTAAACAGGCAACCCACAGAATGGGAGACAATATCTAACAAAGGACTAATATTCAAGAACTCAAACAAGACAGCAAGAAAGCCTACTATTTGATCCAGCAATCCCACTACTAGGTATCTGCTCAGAGGAAAAGAAATCTTATTATCAAGACACCTGCATTCAAATGTTTGTCACAGCATAATTCACAATTGCAAAGATATGGAACCAATCGAAGTGCCTATCAGTTCATGAGTGGATAAGAAAATGTGTGTGTTCGTGCGTGTGTGTATGTATGTATATATGCACACCATGGAGTACTGCTTAGCCATAAAAAGGAATGAAATAATGTCATTATAGCAACTTGGATGGAACTGAAGAGCATTATCCTAAGTGAAATACCTCAGAAATATACCACATGTTCTCACTTACAAGTGAGAGCTAAACCATAGGTATACATGGGCATGAAGGGACATAAAGGGTATTGAAAACTAAGTGGGTGGAAGAGTTGGAGGTGGGTGAGGGATAAAAACATACCCATCAGGTACAATGAATACATCCTGATCACAGGCATACTGAAAGCCCTGACTTGAGTATTATACAGTGTGCCCATGTAACAAAAACATTTGTGACCCCTTAATATGTTAAAATGTATTTTAAAAATTTAATTTAATAATTTTAAAAAAGAATTTGTTTCATATTGGGGGAATGTAATTACTCTGCTAAGGAACTTTAAATATCAAATGACACACCTTTGTTACCAATATCTATAATTCTCTCCATTTCATTCTCACATACATAAAAAACAATATAATGAAGACTTCAACTTTGCATATATGTTCATAAAAATTTAACAAAGTAATCAAAGTGAATCATGTAAATCCAGCCAACCAACAGACTGAAACCCCCAAACTAGCTCAAGCTAAAATTACATTTTGTCATTCTGAGAGTCAATGAAATTTAACTTCAGGATAAAATCGGTATTCTTTCAAAAATTAGATCTATAAAACAAATCTTTTAATAACTTTCAATTCTTATTTTAAAATGTATACGATAATGTACGATATTTTAAAATTTCTATATGCTTTTACAATATTAGCTTCATGAGTGGAACATTGCCAGGTATTTTACCTTTCTTGCTGTTGATGAAGGGGGTTCCTTTTTCATACTTCTTAGTAAAAACTCTGGCATATTGTTTTCGATATCTTCACGGGTTCCCTTTTTATGCAAAACTGCAGCCAGAAATGAAATAACCTGGGGGAAAAAAGTCAATCACTATATATAATGTATCATAATGTACAAAATTTCACTGTTTACGTGACTACTCAATTAGTGACAAAGTATACACAAACAAATTTGTTAGGGCAAAAATGTATCATGAAACACAAGTATTGATTTTTCTTTATTGGTTATTACCAACAAATGTTTGCTACCCTTGAATACATTAAAATATCCTCATATTACCAACTTTTCCGTGATAAGTTTTACCTACTAGATGAATTTTTTCTTAATTCCATCACTTGGGACATTACCTTCTTATTTGTTTCTATCCATGGAAACTATCTTTTCATATCCTGTATTTGAATAAACTGTATACATTCTTCTTTCCACGTAGAAAATAAACTCCATAGGGAGGGTATTATTTGGCTCATAAATTTGTGCACTTCTGTTTATCTAATAAATATGAGGTGGAATGACAGGATGTTATTTTAAGATAGAGTAATTCATCAATACACATACCATTTTGAATTACAGTTCTTCTCCAAAAATCAAGTGAGAAACACAGATTTTAAGGAACCCAAAGCTCACACAATGGAAAGAAAGAAATACTGAAGCAATTACACTTCAGAACAAATTTTAACTGGTTGCTTGGCAGCTGTGTGAACTCGGGCAAGGTAATTAACCTCTCTAAATAATTCTGGTGTGTCCATGTAACAAAAAAATGGCAAAAATAATATCTGCAGGATTGTTTTAAAGATTGAGGGGAAAGGTATATGAGGTACCCAAATGGGAGAAAAGAAATGATCATTACCTTATAAAAATAAATAACAACATTTAAACCTAAAGAAAAAAAATATGAAAAATTAGAAGAACTATAGAAAAAAATATTTTTAACATGGGTATGGATACATATAATCTGAATCCCAAATGATGGGGAAAAAAGAATGGTACAGGAGAAGTACTTGAAGAAATAACAGCTGATTTAAAAAATTTAAGTCATAGATTCAAGATTTACTAAGAACACCAAGTCAAGACACAAAACAAAACAAGAAGGTCAAACAAAATCCAGAAGTAGATACTACACAGAACAAACACGAGACAGAAATATAGTATTATTGATAAAAACAGCTAGAGGTAAAAACACAGATTACTGGGCGGCGGGTTCAAACCCAGTGGCGGGTTCAAACCCAGCCCTGGCCAAAAAAAAAAAAAAAAAAAAAAAAACCCCCACAGATTACCTACAAAAAAAAAAAAAGCCCAACAATTGGACAAATAGCTGACTATGCAGCAAAAACAAAAGACGACACTATACAATAGAATATTTTCAAAGCCCAAAAGAAAATAAAAACAACTAAATTTTTATACCCAGTGATAATATTGAAGAACAAAGAGGAAAGGTGTTCAGATAACCAAAAACTGAGGTAATTCATCACCAAATGGGGCACACTAAAGAACATAATTAAAGATTGTTTTCAGGTGGCTGGGCGCAGTGGCTCATTCCTATAATCCTAGCACTCTGGGAAACCGGAGGTGGGTGGATTGTCTGAGCTGGCAGGTTCCAGACCAACCTGAGGCAGAGCAAGACCTCATCTCTAAAAATAGTCAGGCAGTGTGGCAGGTGCCTGTAGTCCCAGCTACTTGGGAGGCTGAGGCAAGAGAATCACTTGAGCCCAAGAGTTTGAGGTTGTGAGCTGAGCTGTGACACCATGGTACTCTACCAAGGGTGACAAAATGAGACTCTGTCTCAAGAAAAAAAAAAAAAGAAAGCTTGTTTTCAGGAATAAGGAAAATGATCTTAAACAGAAGATTAGTGATACAGGAAAACAAATTAAGAATAAAAATGGTAGCCCAAGCAACAGAGTGAGACCTTGTCTCAAAAATTAAATTAAATTAAAAAGCTATGACAACAAATGTATATAAGTCAGAAGGAGCACAAATGGAGTTATACTACTGAGGTCCTTATGTTGTCCAGGACGAAACAGAAGTACTAATTTATATCAGATTATGATAAATCAAGGATGTCTGTTGTAATCTCTGACATAACTACCAAAAAAAGAATAAAGAATGTATAATTACCAATCTAATGGGGGAGATAATAGAGTAATACAAAATCTATCCAAAAGAAGGTAAAAAGAGGAAGAAATTAAACACTGATTACATGATAAATAAAGAGAAACTAGTAAAATACTAGGCTTACATTCAAATATATCAGAAAGCACATTACATGGATATGGACTAAATGCTCTAAGTAAAGCACAAATTATTATTATTAGACACATAAAATACATGCCACTTATAAGTAAAACATCTAAAATGAGATAAAGTTGTAATTAAAAAATGGAAAATGACACACCACACAACAAAAAAGGAAAATTGATATAGCCATATTAATGTCAAAGAAGGCAAAATGCAATACTAAAGAAGAACAATTTAAGTTAATATTGATAATTAATTTATGTGGAAGTCATAAAAAGTCTAAGTTGGTAAATAAGTATAGTTTACTGAAATAAAAGTAGACAGATTCACTAGCACAATGATAGATTTTTAAATATGCAGCTAGAATAAACAAAATAATCAATAAAGATGTAGATGTGGTTAACATGGTAAGCAAACTTGAACATTAGATAGACTGCTGTACACTACTGCAAAATGCCATTTCAAGCACACATGAAATATTGACCAAAGTTCACTTATGCTAGGCTAGAGAAGTCTCAATTCACTTCAAAACATAGAATAATAAAAAATAGGTCCTTTGATCATAATGTAAAAAATTAAAAAACAAAACTAAAAACAGAAAATCTCCAAATGTTTAAACAGTAAGAAATATACTTCAATGAAAAATTCACCATAAAAATTAGAAAATATTTGAATTAAATAATAATGAGTAACAATCACATATTGAATTTGTAGAATATAGCTAAAGCTATGAGACTTAAATGCATATATAGACAATCCTCAATTTATGATAATGGTGTGAAAGTGATATGCATTCAGTAGAAACTGTACTTTAAATATCCATATAACCATTTTCAGTATAGTATTCAATAAACTATGAGACATTCATCACTTTATTATAAAAATAGACTTTATGATAAATGATTTTGCCCAATGGTAGGCTCCTATAAATGTTCTGAGCACTTTTAAGTTACGCTAGGCTAAACTATGATGTTCAGTAAGTTAGTTGCATTAAATACATTTTCAAGTTATGATTTCTTTTTTCTTTTTTTTTGAGACAGAGTCTCACTTTATCAATCTCAGTAGAGTGTGGTGGTGTCATAGCTCACAGCAATCTGAAACTCTTTGATTCAAGTGATTCTCTTGCCTCAGCCTCCCAAGTAGCTTGGATTAAAGTGGCCCACCACAATGCCCAGCTATTTTTAGAGACAAGGTCTCACTCTGGCTCAGGCTGGTCTCCAACCTGTGAGCTCAAGCAATCTACCCACCTTTGCCTCCCAAGTGCTAGGATTACAGGTGTGAGCCACCCTGCCTGGCTCAAGTTATATTTTTAAACTTACAGTGGACTTACAGGAACATAACCCCATTATGAGTCAAGGGAAAGAACCCCATCATGAGTCATTAGGAAAGAAGAGAAGCTAGTTAACAGATATTTAAATATCTGTCTCAAAAAAGTATAAAGATAATAGAAAATTTAACATAAAAAGCAGAAATTAATAGAAACAAAAAGGATCAATAATGCCAAATGATTACTCTTTAAAAAGATTTTTTAAAGTAACAAACTCTGGGCAAAATTGATACAGAGAGAAATTACAAGAAAAGGCAAACAAAAATTAAATTATTAGCATAATTAAAAATGTTATGCTAATAAATGTGAAAAGTGAGATAAAATGGACAAACAGAACTTACCAAAACTGACACAATAAAGAAAATTTACATATTCATATAACCTTTAAAGAAGCCTGAATACATAGTAATAAACCTTCTACAAAGAAAATTAAGGGCCAGATGCTTCACTAACAAATTCTACCTAATGATTAAGAAAAATATAATACCAATCTTAAACAAACTCTTCTAGGATTTAGAAGAAAGAAAAAAGTATTCTCAACTCATTTTATGAGTTCAGCATAACCTTATTAAAAAAGCCTGACAAAAATACTAAGAGACAAGAAATATAGAAGTCAATTTCTCTCATTCATTCTCTCAGTTTTCTCTCATTCATATAGAAGCAAACTCTTAAACAAAATATTAGCAAAGAGGATAAGGAAATAAAAACAAAATACATAAGAAAAGCAAGTTGGGTTTATTCTGCAAATGTAAGTTTAATTTAATCTTCAAATTTTAAGTGTTAAGTAGTTATGCTAGGTATCTTGGGCACTTAGTTTTCCTAACTCTTTGTTTCCTTAAAATGGGACTAAAATGGTCTCTTACATTATAAGAAATCTACATTTTACATGAAGTGGTACATTTTTTAATTTTAAGCACACTGTGAAAAGTTGAACATGTGTATTTTTTATCACTAGAGCAAACCACTAAAAATACAAAGTGAAGAAGTATATCTAAAAAGTAAATAGAAGAATTAACATGTAATTGTAAAAAATATCCTATCAATCCAAAGGAAGGCAAGAAAGGAGAAGTAGTAGAATAGAAAACAGACTATTCAAAAAGAAAACAAACACTAAAATGTTATATCCAAATTGATATATAATAGTATTACATTAAATATAAATGAACTAAATGCTCCAATTAAATAACAAAGATTGCCAAATAGATAAAAGAGCTGTTTACAAGTCATGTTTTTATTTTTTATTTTTTTTTTGCAGTTTTTGGCTGGGGCTGGGTTTGAACCTGTCACCTCCAGCATTTGGGGCTAGTGCCCCACTCCTTTGAGCCAAAGGTGTCACCCTTATTTTTTTAATTCTTTATTAAATCATAACTGTGTACATTAATGTATTTGTGGGATACAATGTGCTGATTTGATATCCAGTATAAAATGCTTACATCTAACTGATTAACATAACCGTCTAATTGCTTATTTGTTGTGGCAAAAACATTCACACTCTAATCTTAATAGTATA